AGGAATGGAATGAATTTTTATCATTTTTGTTGAATTCTCATTGCCGCTTCCATTTTAGTTACAACACTTTGATTGAATGTTCTTTTTGTCTTTTAAATTCCAATATGCTGACGGGTTGGTGATGAGGGGATGAAAGGCCTGCTTTCACACGGAGATTGGTTTGGTTTTGGGAGAGACACGCTCAGCTTGCTGCACCCAGTTGGAGCTGCCACGTCCCACAAAGAGGGGATTCCATTTTGGTTTTGATTTGGCTACTGTTATGTCCAGCATGAGGGAACTCTTTTGGAGGCTTACGTCCAGTAGGGTGGTGTCACGGAAGGGGCAGCAACACGTTTAGCTTTAGGGAGCACAATGCTAATTCCTTTTTAAAAAGAAGTGCACACTCGGTGATGAAATTCTTGGAGCATCCACATCACGGCTGCTGGAAGAAAAGAGAACTGTCTTTTTCCAGAGAATGAAGAAGTGATTAGAGGGGGTAGGTATACGGTGAATGAAAGGAACTTTCATTTTGTTTTTTTTTTTAAGAGAATGAATGGGTAATGCGTTGGAGAAGCCACCGAAAAGAGAAGATAAATTTATCCTTAGATAGAAGACTGGAAGCACGGTAATTTAAATTGAAGTGTGTGCACATGAAAAATGAGTGGTGAGCATTGCTGCAGCTTGAGAATGAAAATGTTGATTTGATGGGAGTAGGTAGTGTGCACGGGGAGGTGGATAAAGGCAAGGAAGTAAATGATTTTGGGAAGAGGAGAAAGTTGATTTGAAGGTGCCGCTGGATGAGAAAGCACGTGCTGCCACGGCTGGAAGCAAAGAGGAGAAGATAGTTTTGGTGAGAATAGAGTGGTGATTAAGTGGAGAAAGCAGCACGTTGTTAAGCTGGAATGAAGAAGTGATTAGGTGAAAGGTAGGTGGGATTACGGCTTGGTGCAGCTGCCATGTGGAGAAGAAGTCATCCACTTTAGAAAGCAAAAAGTGGCAGCGGCTGGTGAATTACGTGAAGAAAGAAGAAGCGCCCACGTGATGCATTTCTTTTATTTCTCAAAGAATTTTTCATTAGATGGGAACGGTGGTAATTTGAGAGAAGATGTTGGAAGGGCACCATGCTGGAAGGAAGAAGCATTCCAATGATTTTAATTTTCTTTAAAGAGAACACATGGAAGTGTCACGGCCAAGGAGTATGTTTTAGAAGCATTTGCCAATTTCAATTTCTTTTGATAGATGAATGAGTGGTTAATGGTAGAGAAGTTTATTTTCTTTTATTTCTTTTGCCTTAAAATATTTTATATTATATGTTGAAATGATTTTTTTTTTGGTGGTGAATGTGTAGGATAGCTTACAACATTATGCATTTAATGTTCTAGTTTAGGTGATGCAATTGAATATCTTTAATTGTATTCAGTTGTGTTTAATTTTAAGTTTTAATTTAGTTCGTTTTAAATCACAAAAACATTTTCAAAACCCCCCCCACTACGTGTTGATCTGAGACTGAACCCAATTTGGTCCTTGAGAGACGACCTAGGAGTCACTTCCTAGTACTATACTGCATTCTTTTATGCACAACTTTTGTGGGAGGTGCGACCCTCTCATCACTCATCCTGGGACTTGTGTCATGATTCTAATTCTATAGTTTTTTAAACATATATGGGATTTGACCAGAACAAACAGTTGGGTTCACACCTCGTGGCTTAGTTGAGTTGTATTGACACCATGTAGGTTGCTAGGTTTAAACTCCAAACTAAGTTGTCAAATATTTTTAATTTTGGCGATACCTAACAGTCTAGGCTTCATATTTGAAGTGGAATGCGGTATAGGATGGACTTAAAAGAATCTTATTGATTAATTACCAATTGCTAGTTTTAAAATTTCAACTATAAAACAAGAAAATGTTCCCTTTTTATTCTATTTTGGAAAAAATATGTAAACCTAAAATGATTCATCTAAAGTTACTCTAACGTGAGTATATCGAATCTTTTTTTTCTTTAGTGATCTAACCTGTCTATTGCAATGACACTTTTTTTCTGTGGTTGTTATGAGGAAAAGATACCGGATATTGAAAAGTGCTTAGATGTTGGGAGAAAGCCTAAAATTAAGATAACGTCAAGAGTTTGGGGATAAAGTGTTTTGTGGAGGTGAAGATCCTTGTTAAATTACGCCGGTTCAACATTATCACCAAACCCCGAGGTTTAAACGTTAGGATGAAATGAAGCAAAACACAATGTATGATCGAATGAAGGTTGTACCTCGAAGATGGTTCAAGATCAAGAGTCGAGCGAATAGAACTTCATTTACTGTAGATGATAGAAGAAAAGAATGAATAGTTGAATAATTTGTAGTGATTTTAAATGTTAAGAACTTTAGTTGACGATGTTCAAGTAGAATAGGAAATGTAAATGTTTGTTAATATGTTCATGTACAAAGAATTGTTCTTTCCATTAATTTGAATTGAATTTCATTTTATATTTGTTGTTTTTGAAGATCATTTTGTGACTTATGGTGTATGTTTTGTTCATGATAGAGCATCTTTGTTGAAATCAAAGGTGTTTGGACATCATAGTCAATTTTTTAAGTTGAAAAACTTTATGTAGAAGTTAATCTACCATAGAGTGCATAACTCATAACGTAAGTCCCACTTATTTGAACTATGGTCCCACAGGGATATTGAAAGTATATTTCTTGTTTTGAAGATCATTTTGTGACTTAGGCTGTATGTTTTGATCATGATAGAGCGTCCTGGTTGAAATTAAAGGTGTTTGGACATGATAGTCAATTTTTTTAAGTTGCAAAACTTTATGTACAAGTCAGTCTACCCTGGTGTGCATAACTCATAACGTAAGTCCCCACTTATTTCAACTATGGTCCCATAGGTGTTTTGAAGGTATATTTCTTGTTTTTTAATATCGTTTGAACTATGATTATGACATTTATATCGAACTTCATCCCCAATGAGCCATTTTTTGTAGAATTCTTGGTGCAAAAACTGCATTGGTACCAAATGCTAAATAAGTGGAGACTTTAGGCAAAGGTTTTGCATAAACAATCCAACTTTGAAATGACATTGATTTTGAAGTGCAAAATTTTTTTAACACTTATTTGACATACCAGTGATGTTCAGACAATGATTATGAAATTTATATCGAACTTCATCCCCAAGGAACCATTTTTTTGTAGAACTTTTGGTGAAAAAACTGCATTGGTACCAAAGGGTAAATAAGTGGGGACTTTGGGCAAAGGTTTTGCACAAACAGGTCAACTTTGAAAACGACATTCATTTTGAAGTGCAAATTTTTTTTAACAGTTATTTGAAATACAAGTGATGTTCAAACAATGATTATGTCATTTATATCGAACTTTATCCCAATGAGTCATTTTTTGTAAAACTCTTGGTGCAAAAACAACATTGGAACCAAAGGCTAAATAATTGGAGTCATTAGACAAAGGTTTTGCACATACAGGTCAACTTTGAAAATGACATTTATTTTGAAGTGTATAAATTTTTTTAACACTTATTTGACATACCAATGATGTTCAGATAGTGATTATGAAATTTATATCGAACTTCATTGCCAAGGAACCATTTTTTATAGAACTCTTGGTGAAAAAACAACATTGGTACCAAAGGGTAAATAAATGGGGACTTTAGGCAAAAGTTTTGCACAAACAGGTCAACTTTGAAAATGACATTCATTTTTAAGTACAAACTTTTTTTAACACTTATTTGACATACAAGTGATGTTCGGACAATGATTATGAAATTTATATCGAACTTCATTACCAAGGAACCATTTTTTGTAGAACTCTTGGTGAAAAAACTGCATTGGTAACAAAGGGTAAATAAGTGGGGACGTTGGGAAAAGTTTTTGTACAAACAGGTCAACTTTGAAAATGACATTCATTTTGAAGTGCAAAATTTTTTTTAACACTTATTTGACATATAGGTGATGTTCAGACAATGATTATGTCATTTATATCAAACTTCATCCCTAAGGTTTGTAAAACTCTTGGTGGAAAAACTACATTGGTATCAAAGGGTAAATAAGTGGAGACTTTAGGCAAATGTTTTGCACAGATAGGTTAATTTTGAAAATTGCATTCATTTTGAAGTGTAGAATTTTTTTTCATGGAGGTTTTTAATTTTATTTATATAATCATCAAACCAAAACTTGAAATACAACAAATTTATTTAAACTTTATTTGTTGACCATAACAAACTTATTCAAGTTTTTTTAGGTTTGAAACCTCTTTTATTTATAATTATCCACCTACATTCATAATTTCTTTATTTAATGAAATATGTTTTTCATAGTAAAACATAAATAAAATAAACAAAATTATAAAGTACACAAAAATTAATCAAAATTAATTTTATTGATGATTTAAAATAAATTACATTCATTGACCATTACAATGTAAATATAAAAATATATTCATTGGCAATTTAAAATATAATTTGATTCCAAGAGTATGCCCAACAAGTCATTGTTAGTAGACTTCTGTGCTTCCATTGCTTTCAACCTTTAGTTGATGCTTACGGTGATGAAGACAAACTTCTGTAAGGATCATATTTGGAATGAACACAAGCTTTTGCAAGACTACGATGACAAAATTCATGCACAATGTTTTTTTTAAGGAAGACACCTTTTTGTCGAGACTAATTACCTTGGTACAATCGGCCTCAGCTTGAAGATAACTGGATAAACAGAGGAAACAAATCAATATTTTGCCTGACACTTTCAAAAAATGGCCAGAAGAAAACACTACCTTCCATGTTCTAGATACGCTTGAGCCTTGTTACTATAGTACGTTGCATTATCACTACAGAGTTTGATAGCTTCTGTGTAAAATCCAATGGCTTTCTGCCACTGCCTATCTTTATATGCTTGATTTCCCTGACATTAGTAGCAAAACAATATAGAATAGAGGGTTTAGCTGAAAATATATGCAATACTCATAATTAAACAGCACAAATTACCATATTTGATTTAACAAATAATAAAAAAAAATTCTCCTAAATGGACTAAAGTTTAAATTATATAA